GGGATGAGGTCTCACCAAGTTTCCCAGACTGTTCTCGAACCCCTGGGCTCAGGCAATCTTCTTGGCTTGACCTCCCAAAGTGCTGGGATTACAGACGTGAGCCACTGCACCTGGCCTTTTGTGTTTTTATGCATGTAGTTCACTCTACCTGGAATACCCTCATCCATTCTCACCCTCTCCATGATATATGTAGCTAACATATGTTTGTTTTGTTTTGTTTTGTTTTGTTTTGAGTTGGAGTCTCACTCTGTCGCCCAGACTGGAATGCAGTGGTCGGTTCCGGCCACCGCAGCCTCAACCTGCTGGGCTCTGGCGATCCTTCTGCCTCAGCCTTCCAAGTAGCTGGAACTACAGGTGCACGCTACCACGCCCGGCTGATTTTTGATTTATTGTAGAGATGAGGTCTCGCCAAGTTGCCCGGGCGGGTCTTGAACCCGCGGGCTCAGGCAATCCACTCACCTCAGCCTCCCAAAGGTGCGGGATTACAGGCTGAGCCACCGAGCCCGACTCTGTAGCTAACATATGTTTATCCTCAAAATCCAACTCAGAAATAACTTTTTTTTTTTTTAGTTGGAGTCTCACTCTGTAACCCAAGCTGGAGTACACTGTCACACTCACGGCCACCCCGGCGTCAACCTGCTGGGCTCAGGCAATCCTTCCACCTCAGCCTTCCAATAGCTGGAACTATAGTTGCGTGGTACCACACCTGGCTAATTTTTTATTTATTGTAGAGATGAGGTCTTGCCAAGTTGCCCAGGTGGGTCTCAAACCCACGGGCTCAGGCAATCCACTCACCTCAGCCTCCCAAGGCGTGGGATTACAGGTGTGAGCCATCGTGCCTGGCTTCACATCTCTTTCTTTCTTTGTTTCTTTTCTTTGTTTTTTGAGTTGGAGTCTCACTCTGTCACCCAGGCTGGAGTGCTATGGCACACTCACGGCCACCGCAGCCTTGACCTGCTGGGCTCAGGTGATCCTTCTGCCTTAGCCTTCCGAGTAGCTGGAACCACAGACACATGCACCACCACGTCCAGCTAACGTTTTTGATTTATTGTAGAGAAGAAGTCTCACCAAGTTACCCAGGCTGGTCTTGAACCCCTGGATTCAGGCAATCCACTTGCCTCGGTCTCCCAAAGTGCTGGGATTATAGGTGTGAGCCGCCATGCCCAGCTCAGATCTCTTTTAAGCCTAGTTACCATTCTTCTGGAATTTAACGCAACAGACATTTTGAGCATTTTAACACATTTCAAGCACTGTCCTTGGTACTGGGAATACCCAGATGAATAAGACCAGTCTCTGCCCTAAAGAAACTAAAAAGTAGCAAGGAAAGAAATATATAAACAAATAACTTAAAAACTATTATATTAATGTGCACCACAATATTAATAACACTATCTGCAAAATACAAAGACAGGAGAAACTAACTCCATCTGGAGAGAGATAAGGAAGGCTTTTTGAAAAACAGTTGGCCAGGCTCAGTGGCTCAGCCTGTAATCCCAGCACCTTGGGAGGCCGAGGCGAGTGGACTGCCTGAGCCCACGGGGTCGAGACCCACCTGGGCAACTTGGCGAGACCTCTTCTCGACAATAAATCAAAAACCAGCCGGGCGTGGTCACGCACACCTGTAGTTCCAGCTACTTGGAAGGCTGAGGCGGAAGGATCGCCGGAGCCCAGCGGGTTGAGGCTGCGGTGGCCGGGAGCGGCCACTGCACTCCAGTTTGGGTGACAGAGTGAGACTCCAACTCAAAAAAAAAAAAGAAAAGAAAAACAAACAGTTATTTCTGGCCAGATGCTATGACTCACTTCTGTAATCCCAGCACTTTGGGACGCTGAGGTGGGAGGATTGTTTGAGATCAGAAGTTCAAGACCAGCCTGGACAACATAGTCAGACCTTGTCTCTATAAAAAAAATTTTTTTTTTAAATTTAGTTGGGTGTAGTGGTACATACCCGTAGTCCCAGTTACTTGGGAGATTGAGGCAGAAGGGTTGCCTGAGCCCAGGAGGTCGAAGCTGCAGTGAGTCTGGATCACACCATTGCACTCCAGCCTGGGTGAGAGAGCAAGGCTCTGTTTCAAAAAAAAAAAAAGTTGGGGTAACCCCTTCGAGTCCCCTCCCACAGTGGGAGCTTTTCTGTCTTCTTAATAAATCCTGTTTTCTGAAAAAAAAAAAAAAGTTGGTCGGACTCGGTGCCTCAGCCTGTAATCCCAGCACTTTCGGAGGCCAAGGCAAGTGGATTGCCTGAGCCCGTGGGTTCAAGACCAGCCTGGGCAATTTGGCAAGACCTCATCACTACAATAAATAAAAAATTAGCCAGGTGTGTTCCAGCTATTTGGAAGGCTGAGGTGGGAGGATCACCTGAGCCCAGCAGGTTGACGCTGGGGTGGCCATGAGTGTGCCAGTATATTCCAGCTTGGGTTACAGAGTGAGACTCCAACTAAAAAAAAAAAAGTTGCCGGGCTCGGTGGTTCAGCCTGTAATCCCACCACTTTGGGAGGCTGAAGTGAGTGGATTGCCTGA